GAGTAGCTGGGATTACAGGTGCCTGCCACCAGGCTCGGCTAATTTTTTTTTTTTTTTTTTTGAGATGGAGTCTCACTCTATCACCAGGCTAGAGTGCAGTGGTACGATCTCGGCTCACTGCAGCCTCCTCCTCCTGGGTTCAAGTGATTCTCATGCCTCAGCCTCCCAAGTAGCTGGGACTGCAGGCGCCTGCTGCCATGCCTAGCTAATTTTTGTATTTTTAGTGGAGATGGGGTTTCACCATGTTGGTCAGTCTGGTCTCAAACTCCTGGCCTCAGGTAATCCACCTGCCTCGGCCTCCCAGAGTACAGGGATTACAGGTGTGAGCCACCGTGCCCTGCCACCAATGTCTTAATGGCCACGAAATGCTCACTAATATATGCCTTGGCCCTCAGCTCTCGTTGCTGTAGAATTGGTTTGATGACTACATACTAGACAAGATCTGGGTTCATTAGAGCGCCTTGAGTGGGGAGTCCTCGGCCTAGGTTTACGCCTGCTCCTGACCTTGTTAATGACTGCTGTTAACACTCTACCCCTTATTATTTTTTAAGATGGGGTCTCATTCTGTTGCCCAGGCTGGAGTGCAGTGACACAGTCTCGGCTCACTGCAGCCTCTGTCTCCCAGGCTCAAGTGATTTTCCTGCCTCAGTCTCCCAAGTAGTTGGGACTGCAGGCACATGCCACGGCCCCCGACTGAGACGGGGGTTTTCAAGAGATGGGGTTTCTATCTGTTGCCCAGGCTGGTCTCAAATTCCTGAGCTTAAGTGATCCTCTTGCCTTGGCCTCCCAAAGCCCTGGGAATAAAGGTGTGAGCCATGTTTCACCATGTTGGCCAGGCTGGTCTCAAATTCATGGCTCAGGGGATTCATCCACCTCTGCCTCCCAAAGTGCTGGGATTACAGGTGTGAACCACTGTGTCCAGCCTTGGACACAGTCTTACTTGGATTCCTTATGCTCTTTTGACAAGCTCAGAGCCTCAGATAAATTCAGAAAATAGATGATTACATCAGGCAGGCTCTATCAACAGGGATTATACAAACCATTAGCCCAACTGTTAATAGAAGTCTGCTTTCCTGTCGGGTGTGATAGCTCACACATGTAATCCCACTGCTTTGGGAGGCCAAGGCAGGAGGATCACTTGAGCCCAGGAATTTCACACCAGCCTGGGCAACATAGTGTGAGACCCCATCTCTTAAAAAAAAAAAAAATTAGCTGGGCATGGTGGCATTCACCTGTAGTCCCAGCTAGTCAGGAGGCTGAGGTAGGATCACTGCAGCCCAGGAGTCCAAGGCTGCAATTAGCCATGATTGTGCTGCTGCATTTCAGCCTGGATGACAGATTGAGAGCCTATCTCTTAGGAAAGAAAGAAAATCTGCTTCCCTCATGTCTGCTGTGGACAGCTCGACATCCTGAGAGCCAGTGCTCTTACCACTCACCTCCTCTAGCTGTTGGCTGATTTGTTTCATCCTCTTTGAGGAAGTTCTCCGGAATCCCATGTCCTTCCTCATCTTCCCCTCCCAGTTGCTCCTGCACTCAGTTCTTTGTCTTTCCTCCTCCACCGGGTAGAAACTCATCTTGCTCATACCGCCAGGGACTGACTTCACTCAGCCCAGTGGATATTTTCCAGCCCTTATCTTCCCTGCTTCTGTGTTGCATCCTTGTGACACTGGAATGTTTCACTTAAAACTGTCGCCTCCCAGGACAGCACACTCTTCCCGATTGTCATCTCTGTCACTCCTCATCTCTCTCACTCTGCTTCTTCTCTGCCTCCTTCAGCTATCATTTCTTTCCCTGCCTGCCTTTCCAATATTGGCACTCTTTGATGTTCCATACACAGTCCCTAGGATCTCTCATTGTCACAAGGAAAGAGAAAAACCAGCTAGAGACGCACGAATCTCAAATGGATATTGTTGACCCGATTTCAACCCTGAGTTTCATCTCCAATGCTGCCTCTCGGTGTGTCATGAACATGTCAAGCTGTGAACGTCTGAGACTGCGTTCATTTTCTCTCCCTAACCCACCCACCTACCCAAGAGTTTTTTTTTTGGTAGTCTTTTTTTTTTTTTTTTTTTTTTTTTGAGATGGGATCTGGCTCTGTTGCCCAGGCTGGAGTACAGTGACATGGTCATGCATCACTGCAGCCTCGACTTCCCTGGACTCAGGCGATCCTCCCCACCTCATCCTCTTGAGTAGTTGGAACTACAGACACACCACCATGGCCACCTAGTTTTTGTATTGTTTTGCAGAGATAGGGTTTCACCAGGTTGCCCAGGCTGGTCTGGAACTCCTGGGCTCAAGCATTCCACCTGCTTTGGCCTCCCAGTGTGCTGGCATTACAGATACGAGGCACCACACTTTCTGGAATTCTTTATCTCTGGTGATGTGGATGGTGGTGGCACCCAGTTGCCTAAGCTAGAGCTGCATAAGATGTCCTCACCTCCTTTTTCTCTCTCCCCTACTCCAAAAATTCGTAGTTCATCAAGTTCTGGTAAGTTTACCGGTTAGATAATTTTGGAGTCAATTTTTGTGCCCTCTAGTCTTCATTCCTACTTTTTTGTTTGTTGGTTTGTTTGTGAGATGGAGTCTTGCTCTGTCGCCAGGCTGGAGTGCAATGGCAAGACCTCAGCTCACCGCAACCTCTGCCTCCCAGCTTCAAGCAATTCTCCTGCCTCAGCCTCCCGAATAGCTGGGATTACAGGCATGCGCCACCATGCCTGGCTAATTTTTTTGTATTTTTAGTGGAGACTGGGTTTCTCCATGTTGGTCAGGCTGGTCTCAAACTCCTGACCTGAGGTGATCTGCCCATCTCGGACTCCGAAATTGCTGGGATTATAGGCATGTGCCACTGTGCCCAGCCCCTGCTTTCTTTTTTTAAGACGAGGTCTCACTCTGTTGGTGGCTGGGCGCGGTGGCTCACGCCTTTACTCCCAGTACTTTGGGAGGCTGAGGTGGGTGGATGACGAGGTTAGGAGATAGAAATCATCCTGGCCAATACGGTGAAACCCTGTCTTTATTAAAAATACAAAAAAATTAGCTAGGCGTGGTGGCGCATGCCTGTAATCCCAGCTACTCGGAAGGCTGAGGCAGGAGAACCACTTGAACCCGGGAGGCAGAATTTGCAGTAAGCTGAGATTGTGCCACTGCGCTCCAGCCTGGTGACAGAGCTAGACTCCATCTCAAAAAAAAAAAGACAAGGTCTCTGTTTCCCAGGCTGGAGTGCAGTGCCATGCTCATAGCTTACTGTAGCCTCAAAGTCCTAGACTCACATGATCCTCCTTTCTCAGCCTCCCAAGTGGCTAGGACTACAGATGTGTTGCACCACACCAGGCTAATTTTTAAGGTTTTTTTTGTCGAGGTAGGGTCTTGCTGCCCCCAACTGTCATCTTGCCTTGTTCTCCCAACGTGCTGGGATTATAGGTGTGAGCCTGGCCTATTCTCACTTTCTAATGTGGGCCACCTTCGTTTCTGTTTTCCTTTTGAAACAGGATCTCACATCATCACCCACGCTGGAGTGTAGTGGCACGATCTTGGCTCACTGCAAACTCTGCCTTCTGTGCTTAGACGATCCTCCCACCTCAGTCTCCGGTGTAGCTGAGAACACAGGCATGTGCCACTACACCTGACTGATTTTTTTCTATGTCTAGTAGAGGTGGGGTTTCACCACGTTGCCTAGGCTGCTGTCAAACTCCTGGGCTCAAGCAGTCTGCCCACCTTGGCCTGCCAAAGTGCGGGCATTACAGGTGTGACAAACCTGGCTTCCACCCTCCTTTCTTTTTTGCGTTGCTGCAAGTTGCTCCGTCTTTGGCCTTGTTCTTCCTCTGCCTGTCCATGGCCACCAGGACCAGCTATTGAAGCAGGAGAGCCCATCATGTGACATTTAGATCACATCACTCTCTTCCTTAACAACCTCCAATGGTTTCCCGTTGCCACTAAGTCACAGATGGCAAAAGCCATCTATTTCAGCCTGTCCAGGTTCCCCTCTGCTCCTCACCCTTCAGCCCAGGCCTACCAGACTCCCTCTGCCTCCCCTATAAGTGCCTGGCTATTTCTCCTCATTCCCCCTGGGTAGTGTCTTCTTTTTTTCCCTACTCAACTTACCACTGCCTCCCAGTTCTTTCATAGTCTTTCACATGCTCCTCATGCGTCATCTCTTCCAGGAAGTCTTCCTTGACTGAGGTTGAGTTTGGAACTTCTTAACTATCCTGGGCACTGATAGAAATGTTTATTATCTTGATTGTGATGATGGTTTCTCAGGTGCATACATATATCAAAACATACCAACGTGTATATTCAAATATATGCAATTTATTACATGTTAAAATCTTGTGCACATTTCTGTGGCTGCAGTAGACACATAGTTTTATAATGTACATGGGCCTAGGTGCAGTGGTTCACGCCTGTAATCCCAGCACTTTGGGAGGCTAAAGCGGCTGGTTCACTTGAGGTCAGGAGTTCAAGACCACCCTGGCCAACATGGTGAAACCCTGTCCCTACTGAAAATAAATTAGCCAGATGTGGTGCATGCCTGTAATCCCAGCTCTTCTGGAGGCTGAGGCACAAGAATCATTTGAACCCAGTAGGCAGAGGTTGCAGTGAGCTGAGATCATGCTACTGCACTCCAGCCTGGGTGATAGAGCAAGATTCTGTCTCAAATAGTTAATTATAATAATACTTATTATTCATATGCAGTTTACATTCCTCCCCTTCTTCCTCCACCAGGCTGAGAGTCCCCTTTAGGGAAGGCAGGCATCTTGGAGACATTTAACATGGCTCCCTCGGTCCTATAGTAGGTGCTCAGTAAATATTTGTATATGGATGTACATGAGCCTTGATGTTAACCCAGGGAATGTAATAGGTGAGTGAGTTGTCTTTTGTTTGGGTTTACTTCAGATTTTTGGCGTATTTAATAATTTAACACAGCATGAAGTTTATTTTTTTTTCTGTTAAACATCAACTACTTAACCAGATATGAGTCATCATTTTCAAACCTTCTATCCTAGACACCATGCCACAAGAAGACTGATCTCTTCCAGTGTTTTCACCATGGAGGACTCTGGAAAGACTTTCAGCTCTGAGGAAGAAGCAGCTAACTATTGGAAAGATTTGGCAATGACCTACAAACAGAGGTAATTTCACCTGCTTTTCCTTTTGTTTTTGAGATGAAGTTTTACTCTTGTTTCCAGGCTGGACTGCAATGGCACGATCTCACCTACCGCAATCTCTGCCTCCTGAGTTCAAGTGATTCTCCTGTCTCAGCCTCCCAAGTAGGTGGGATTACAGTGCACTATGGAAGGCTTAACTTAAACTATCTCAAAACTGCCTGTGAAGAAACTATTAACAACCCCATTTTATAGATGAAGAAACTGAGACTCAGTAAAGGCAGAACTTGCCCACAGTCACACAGCCTATAAGTAGTAGTAGAGCTATAATTTGAACTCCAGACCTATGGTCCTGATTATCCTGCTATGCCACATTTCATTATTATTTTCTTTTTCTTTTCCTTTTTTTCTTTTTTTTGAGACAGAGTCTTGCTCTGTTGCCTAGGCTGGAGTGCAGTGGCGCCATCTTGGCTTACTGTACTCTCTGCTTGCTGGCTTCAAGTGATTCTTGTGCCTAAGCCTTCGCATAGCTGAGATTACAGGTGTACGCCACCATGTCTGGCTAGTTTTTTGTGATTTTAGTAAAGACACGGTTTTGCCATATTGGCTAGGCTGGTCTTGAGCCCCTGGCCTCACGTGATCTGCCTGCTTCACCATCCCAAAATGCTGGGATTACAGGCATCAGCCACGGACACGGTTTTGCCATATTGGCTAGACTGGTCTTGAGCTCCTGGCCTCACGTGATCTGCCTGCTTCACCATCCCAAAATGCTGGGATTACAGGCATCAGCCACCATGCCTGGTCTTCCCTGTTATTTTCTAGAAGGGTTTATCAGTTCCTAGATGCCATATCTGGCCAGTTCTTTGTGTGCAGGGAAAGAGCTTTTCCCTATGCCTACGAAAATATCTCGTTGCAGAGTTTGAAATTTGAAACCCGTGTTTTGGTTGGTGCTCATATCTGGGAGTTATGTGTGTGTGTTTGGTTTGGCACTGTTTGTTTTTATTTCTAATGTGTCTTTACAGTCTGTACAGAGAGGCCTTATTCCAGTCCCCTTAGTTTTTTTTTATTTATTGAAAAATTATTTGAGGGCCAGGCACAGTGGCTCACATCTGTAATCCCAGCACCTTGGGTAGGCAGATGGCTTGAGCTCAGGAGTTTGAGACCAGCTGTGGCAACATGGCAAAACCCTGTCTCTACGGAAAATACAGAAATTAGCAGGCATGGTGGCGTGTTCCTGGAGTCCTAGCTACTTGGGAGGCTGAAATGGGAGGATTGCTTGAGCCTGGGAGGTCGAGGATGCAGTGACCTGTGATCGCATCTTTGTTACCCAGGCTGAAGTGCAGTGCCTATTCACAAGTGTGACCCTATCTCACTGCAACTCCTGGACCCAAGTGGTCCTCCTGCCTCAGCCTCCCAGGTAGCTGGGACTACAGGCGTGTGCCACCATGCCCGGCTGATTTTTATGCACATGTCTGTGAAGGCAAGGTCTTAATTATATTGTCCTGGCTGGTCTCGAACTCCTGCCTCAAGGAGGCAGAAAGTGCGGTAGGTGAGATGAGCCACTGCACCCGGCCCCTCCTACTTTCTTTATTCTAGTTTTACTTAAAGGTAATTCAGGCTTGATATTTTAAAAATGTTCCTTGACTTTGGCCAGGCGTGGTCGTTAACGCCTGTAATCCCAGCACTTAGGGAGGCGGAGGTGGGCAGATCACCTGCAGTCAGGCGTTTGAGACCAGCTTGGCCAACATGGTGAAACCGTGTTCTTACTAAAAATACAAAAATTAGCTGGGCAAGGTGGTGGGCACCTGTAGTCCCAGCTATTCCAGAGGCTGAGGCAGGAGAATCACTTGAACCTGGGAAGCAGAAATTGCAGTGAAATGAGAGTATACCCCTTGAGCCTAGGTGACAGAGTGAGACTCTTGTCTCTAAAAAAATTATTGCATGACGATTGGAAATTCTGCTGTAGGGCAGAAAATACACAAGAGGAGCTCCGAGAATTCCAGGAGGGAAGCCGAGAATATGAAGCTGAATTGGAGACACAGCTGCAACAAATTGAATCCAGGAACAGAGACCTCCTGTCAGAAAATAACCGCCTTCGAATGGAGCTGGAAAGCATTAAGGTGAGGGTCTGAGAGGAAGTATGCTCAGGTGTAGACAGGCTTCCAACACAGGCATGGCATGCTTGGCTGGAAGAAGGAACCCTGCAATGAGGGGCTCCAGGCTCCAGGCCCATGCTCAAGGGCCTATGGGGGTGGGCATGGTGGACATGAATTCTTTGTGCCTCTAATAGGTGGAGCTTTTTTTTCTTTTTTAAGATGGAGTTTCACTGTTGTTACCCAGGCTAGAGTGCAACGGCGCAATCTTGGCTCGCTGCAACCTTCACCTCCCAGGTTCAAGTGATTCTGCTGCCTCAGCCTCCTGAGTAGTTGGGATTACAGGCATCTGCTACCATGCCCAGCTAACTGTATTTTTAGCAGAGATGGGGTTTTATCATGTTGGCCAGGCTGGTCTTGAACTCCTGACCTCAGGTGATCCATGATGGGTGGAAGTTTGAAAAGCAAGTCACACACATGTTCCCATGGACTTTCTTGGTTATCTACACCGATTTTATAGGGCACATGGCAGGGAGACCTTTCTTTAAAAAAAAAATTTTTTTTTTCAAACATGGTCTTGCTCTGTTGCCCAGCCTGGAGTACAGTGGCTGGATTATACTCAGTGCATCCTGGACCTTGCAGGCTCAAGCAATCCTCCCACCTGAATCTCTGGAGTAGCTGGGACTATAGGCGTGCGCCACCATGCCTGGTTACTTTTTGTATTTTTTCTAGAGATAGGGTTTTGCTCTTTTGCCCAGGTTGGTCTTGAACTCCTGGACTCAAGCAGTTCTCCTGCCTTGGCCCCCCAAAATGCTGGTATTACAAGTATGAGCCACTACCTGGCCAGGGAGACTAGAGTATGGAGGTCTTGCTAGACTAATAAGGTCCAGTATTATAGTCCTTAGCTACATGTGGCTGTTGAAATTTTTTTTTGAGATGAGTCTTGTCTCTGTCACCCAGGCTGGAGTGCAGTGGCTCCATCTTGGCTCACTGCAACCTCCGCCTCCTGGGTTCAAGCAATTCTCTTGTCTCAGCCTCCTGAGTTGCTGGGATTACAGGCATGTGCCACCACACCCCGCTAATTTTTGTATTTTTAGTACAGACAGAGTTTCATCATGTTGGCCAGGCTGGTCTCAAACTCCTCACCTCAGGTGATCCACCTGCCTTGGCCTCCCAAAGTGCTGAGAGTACAGGTGTAAGCCACCACGCCCAGCTGTAACTGGTGAAATTTAAGGAATAAAAATAAGTCACAGTAGCCACAATTCACGTGCTTAGGAGCCACATGTGGCCACTGCGTTTCCTTAGTGGACAGAGGGATGTAGAAAATTTCCTTCATTACCAAAAGGTCTGTTGGACTGGGCCAGTTCAGAGCAGGGTTCTTGACCTGGGTACTGTTGACATTTGAGCCTGGGCTGTCCTCCATTGGGAAGGACTGAGATTTGCTTTGTGGGACTTTTTTTTTTTTGAGATGGAGTCTTGCTCTCTTGCCCAGGCTGGAGTGCAATGGCATGATTTCAGCTCACTGCAACCTCTGCCTTCCAGGTTCAAGTGATTACCTGCCTCAGCCTCTTGAGTAGCTGGGATTATAGGCACCCTCTACCATGCCTGGCTTTTTGTGTTTTTAGCAGAGATGAGGTTTCACCATATTGGCCAAGCTGGTCTCAATCTGACCTCAAGTGATCTGCCTGCCTCAGCCTCTCAAAGTCCTGGGATTACAGGGGTAAGCCACCATGCCCTGCCACTTTGTGGGATGTTTAGCAGTATCACTGGCTTCTACCCTCTAGGTGCCATTAGCATCCCCTTCCACTTCCAAGGTGGTGACAACCAAAAGCACCTCTAGACATAGCCACATATCCGGAGACCTACTGGTCTGACAGGTAAAGACCTGCGTCTTCCGTACATTCTGTTGGGCTCAGCAAGGGCTCAGTAAGTCAACACCGGGCCCCAGAGACTGGCTCTCAGTGCTGCTGCCAGCCAGCATCACTGGCCGAGCTTCATAAATACCCGAAAGGCCTGAACCCTCTCTCCCCATTCTCATCTCCCCACCTTGAGCTGAGATTCCATTTCTCAGTAAGTCTGGGTGGGGTCTTGGTACGTGTGTTTGTGTGTGTGTGTGTGTGTGTGTGTGTGTGTGTGTGTGTTCTCATTAAGCTCCCCATGTAAAATTTTTTTTTTTTTTTAGACAGTCTTGCTCTGTCACCCAGGCTGGAGTACAGTGGCGTGATCTTGTCTTACTGCAACCTCTGCCTCCTAGGTTCAAGCGATTCTCTTGCCTCAACCTCCAGAGTAGCTGGGACTACAGGTGTACACTGCTACGCCCAGCTAATTTTTTTGTTTTGTTTTGTTTTGTTTTTTTGAGACGGAGTTTCGCTCTTGTCACCCAGGCTGGAGTGCAATGGCGCGATCTCGGCTCACCGCAACCTCCGCCTCCCGGGTTCAGGCAATTCTCCTGCCTCAGCCTCCTGAGTAGCTGGGATTACAGGCACGCACCACCATGCCCAGCTTATTTTTTTGTATTTTTAGTAGAGACGGGGTTTCACCATGTTGACCAGGATGGTCTCTATCTCTTGACCTTGTGATCCACCCACCTCAGCCTCCCATAGTGCTGAGATTACAGGTGTGAGCCACAGTGCTTAGCCACTCCCCATGTAAATTTTGATGAGCTGCTTTGTGGAAGAGTCAAAACTGTGTGTGCCCAGGGCTAGGTGTGGTAGACCATGAAAGGGGAAGTGCTGGTTGCCTTCTTTGGGAAGACAAACCTAATGCCATGAAACATTTGGGGTCGTGGAGTTCAGTCACAGAGCTCTGATTCTGATATGGGAGCCTTTCAAGAGACAAAGGACAGCTGGGTGCAGCGGCACATGCCTGTACTCCCAGCGCTTTGGGAGGCCGAGGCGGGCAGATCACGAGGTCAGGAGTTTGAGACCAGCCTGACCAACATGGTGAAACCCCGTCTCTACTAAAAATACAAAAATTAGCTGGGTGTGGTGGCGGGTGCCTGCAATCCTAGCTACTCAGGAGGCTGAGGCAGGAGAATCTCCTGGACCTGAGGCAGAAGTTGTAATGAGCCACGATCATGCCACTGCACTCCAGCCTGGATGACAGATGTCATCTCAGGAAAAAAAGAAGAGAGAGAACTGCATGGGTTGAGGGAGGCTTTGTGGAGGGCGTTTGCAGGTGTGGTCACTGACAGCTGGGTGTCTGGGGGATGGGGCCAAGGGAGAGTTGATCAGACCCATCACAGGCGTGGACAGGAATTGGGTGTCGGGTGGACCTTGGCAGCCCTGGCTGTGCTAATGCATAGGAAAGGGTGTGGGACCCACCAGCGGATTGGAGGTTTGGGGCAGGGCAGAGGAAAGGTCCCAAATACATTGAAGGTGAGCAGTGGAGCTGCAGCTTTCTGTTGCAAACCAGAGAGCCCCGCTGGCTGTCTGCTGATCCATTTGCCCCATTGCTGGTGTTTGATCAGCCTTCAATGATTTTTGTTCCACGTTTCCCCGTGAATGTTTTCCAGCATACAAGGCTGAAAGAATTTTCAATGAATACCTGTGAACCCACCACTATCTAGGTGCTACCAATAATATTTACCCTATTTGCCTTTTATTATATATATTCTCAGCCATCAAAATTGGTAAGGCTTCCTGTAAAAAGATGGATTTCTGGCCAGGCACGGTGGTTCACACCTGTAATCCCACCCCTTTGAGAGGCTGAGGAGGGAGACTCGCTTGGGACCAGGAGTTCGAGGCCAGCCTGAGCAACATATTGAGACTTTGTCTCTACAAAAAAATCAAAATTAAAAAATCAGCCCAGCAAGGTGGTGCACACGTGTAGTCTCAGCAACTCAAGAGGCTGAGGCAAGAGTATCGCTTGAGCCTAGGAGGGCGAGGTTGCAGTGACCTGACGATTGTACCGTTGCACTCCAGCCTGGGTGACAGAGCAAAAGTTAAAAATAAAAAACCTGACTAGTGGTCGCTTAGAACAAACATTCTCGAGTTTTCCCCAGTCCCTGTATCCCTGACACTGAGGCCTTTGTGTCTTTGCTGCCTCTCCCTGAACCTGGCCCACTTCATCCACTGTTAACAGCTGAATGCCAGCTACAGGCAATGGGGCATGATTATCTTTCTTTTTGTTGTTGTTGGAGACGGTCTCCCTCTGCCACCCAGGCTGGAGTTCAGTGGGGGCAATCTCAGCTCACTGCAACCTCTGCCTTCCAGGTTCAAGTGATCCTCCCACCTAAGCCTCCCAATAGCTGGGGTTACAGGCACCTGCCACCATGCCTGGCTAATTTTTGTTATTTTTTGTAGACACAGGGTTTTATCATGTTGCCCAGGCTTGTTTCGAACTCCTGAGTGCAAGTGATCCACCTGCCTTGGCTTCTCAAAGTGTTGGGATAACAGGCGTGAGCCACTGTGCCTGTTGATTGTAGTTCCTAAATTGAAGGGGCCTCAGGGTTAAAAAGTGGGGTAGAAGGAAGATGTGGGGTATGAACTGCCGTTGCTGGTGGATAACAGGCCCTCCATGGATCCAGAGTCAAATATCAAGCAGTTACTAAATAATTTTCTGCTTCAGGACTGAGCCTTTTTTTTTGTTTTAAGATGGAGTCTTGTTCTGTCACCTGGGCTGGAGTGCAATGGTGCGATCTTGGCTCACTGCAACCTCTGCCTCCCCGGTTCAGGTGATTCTCCTGTCTTGGCTTCCTGAGTAGCTGGGATTACAGGCATGCACGAGGATGCCCAGCTAATTTTTTTTGTATTTGTAGTCGAGACGAGGTTTCACCATGCAGGTCAGGCTGGTCTCAAACTCCTGACTTTGTGATCTGCCTGCCTCGGACGCCCACAGTGCTGGGATTACAGGCATGAGCTACCGTGCCTGGCCAAGACTGAGCCCTTGAACCTGCAGGAGACCCCTTCATTTACAACCATGTCAGATGCATGAGACTCAGAGCACACAGCACGGGGAAGAAACCTTGGTATAACGAGGACCCTGCCACCAGCAAATATTTGTCAGTCACCTAAGAGAAATGTGTTCAGCTGGGCCAGACTTCTTAACAACTGGCTTATTCATCACGGGTTGAATGAAAAAGCCTCTAAGGGACCAAACAGAGCATCTATTGATGCCCCCCATCAGCTGACAGCTTATTCGAATTAGCCCCAAACGACAGCACAACATTTCAGCGACAGGTTTTCATGTCCGCAGGTTCCAGGGAGATCTCCGAATTGCTAATGCGCAGGCTGCAGAGCACTCTCGCTGCATCCTCCCGGAGCCTGCGTTTGAATTTAGGCTAAAGACTTAAGATCCTGTTTTATTTGGAGATGTTCCCAAGTAAAGGGTGTGAGGCGATGAGAGCCACGCCTGGGAACGGGGCCTGATCTGTCTCTACTTGCTGGTTGCAGAAACTTCTCCACTTACAGCCAGGAAACGGGAGGGCGGGGTGCGGAAGTGGACCGCCCTCCCCGTCCCTCTGCGCTGTAAATTGTCTTTTTGTTCTTTCTTTGGAGTCTTCTTGCACTGTGGCCCTCGCCACGCCTCTCCGGCCTCGGCACCATTACATCACCCTTCTGGGTGCGTCTGGACTTTCCAGCAACAACTTTGTTTACTTGATTGAAGGTAGAGGAGTTGGCCTTTTTAAAAAAAACTAAAAACTTTCGAATTAGGCTCTGTGTTTTTCTTGGGGGAAGTGTTTTCTCTCATGTTTATAGAATCTAGGATGCATGTTTTGCAAGTGATTTCCTTGCCTCAGCCTCTCAGGTAGCTGGGACTACAGGCACATGCCACCATACCCAGCTGTTTTTTATGTTTTTGGTAGAGATGGATTTTCACCATGCTGGCCAGGCTGGTCTCAAACTCCTGACATCAAGTGGTCTGCCCACCTCGGCCTTCCAAGTAGCTGGGACTACAGCTGTGCACCACAGTTCCAGGCTAATTTTTGTATTTTGGTTTCACCATGTTGTCCAGGCTGGTGACTTTTTTAAGCTTTGGGGTCTCACTCTGGCGTGGGCTGGAGTACAGCGGCATGGTCTTGGCTCACTGCAACCTCTGCCTCCAGGGTTCAAGTGATTCTCCTGCCTCAGCTTCCCAAGTAGCTGGGATTTCAGGTGCCCGCCACCACGCCAGGCTAATTTTTTGTATATTTAGTAGAGATGGGGTTTTACCTGGTTGCCAGGCTGGTGATATCTTTTTTTTTTTTTTTTTTTTTAAGCATTGGGGTCTCACTCTCTGGCCTGGGCTGGAGTGCAGTGGCATGATCATAGCTCATTGCAGCCTCAATCTCCTGGCCTTAAGTGATCTTCTCCTGTCATCCTCCCAAGTAGCTAGGACTACAGGTGCATGCCGTCATGCCTGGCTGTTTTTTAAATTTTCTGTAGAGACAGTCTTGCTGTGTTGTCTAGGCTGGTCTGCCTCTGCCACCTGAAAAGTGCTGACATTGCAGGCATGAGGCATTGCACCTGGTTCTGGGTGTTTGATGAAGGAAAGTAATTTGGAAGCAGAACAGGAACAAAATTGAGAGAGCACGGGAGTGGCCAGGTGATTTGGAGTGAAATGGTTTAGGGGCTTTAGCATAATTGCTGAGGGACACCTGCTTAGGAGGCTGGGGTTTGATCCCGGGTCAGTCATTTGCTACCCAGTTGACTCTGGGCTAGTTAAGTAGCTGAACCTCAGTGTTCATATCTCTGAAGAGGGATTAAACAAGACCACATAGGTAGTGTACTTAGCCCGGATGCCGGCACAGAATAAGCATGTAATGGATGTTATTGCTGCAACTGGCAACAAGGAATCATTGAGAAGTCAGCTGGACTGTTTCTTTGGTAATTAACAAGGTCTCTTTTCTCCGCTTTTTCTTTCTGTCTCTCTCCCTCCCTTTCTCTTCTCTCCCTCTTCTCTCTTTCCCCCTCCCTTTTCTCCACCCTTTCCCCCTCCCTCCTTCTTTTCTTAGGTCTTTGTGTTCCTATTTTTTGTGTTTTGTTTTTTATTTTTGAGAAGGAGTCTTGTTCTTGTTGCCCAGGCTGGAGTGCAGTGGTGCAGTTTCTGCTTGCTGCAACCTCTACCTCCTTGGGTCAAGCGAGTCTTCTGCCTCAACCTCCTGAGTAGCTGGGATTGTAAGGCATGCGCCACAATGCCTGGCTAATTTTTTTGGGATTTTTTTTTTTTTTTTTTGTATTTTTAGAGATGGCGTTTCAGCATGTTGTCTAGGCTGGTCTCGAACTCCTGACCTTAGGTGATCTGCCCGTCTTAGCCTCCCAGAGTGCTGGGATTACAGGTGTGAGCTACTGTGCTGGGCCTGTTTTTATGTTTTTAAATAACCCAGAGATTGGAATGTTCCTTCTGTCTTTCTCCATGCTACAACAGGGAGTCCTGGATCAACAATTCAGAATGGTTGGCTGTTATAAAACCAAGTACATGCTGCCCTCCCATTGTTGGGGCACAAACAGCGGAAGTCATTGTGATTCCCCTTTTTTTTTTTTTTTTCTTTGTGGAGGCAGCAGGGTCTAACTTTGTTGCCCAGGCTGAAGTGCAGTGATGCAGTCACAGATCAGCGCAGCTCTGACCTCCCAGGCTCAAATGATCCTCCCACCTCAGCCTCACAAGTAGCTAGAACTACAGGCGAGAGCCACCATGCCCTGCTAATTTTTCTTTTTTTGTAGAGAATAGGTTTCACTCAGGGCCACGCTGGTGACTCTTTGTAATATGGTGATAATGTGTGAAGGAGACCCACGTTGCTCTTGTGGATGAGGCTTGGAGAAGTCACGTTGCTTTCTTGGGCTGTGGACACCTTGGGCAGAATGATTTATCTGGAGATTGTTGGGGACTGTAGGAACCAGGTTTGGGAGTGGGCAGGATTCAAGGTGCTTAGGGGGTAGGATGTGGGTGGCACTTAGGACGTAATTAAAACTGTTGGTCAGGCCAGGTGAAGTGGCTCACACCTGTAATTTCAACACTTTGGGAGGCCAAGGTGGGCAGATCACCTGCGATGGGGAGTTAAAGATCAGCCTGACCAACATGGAGAAACCCCATCTCTACTAAAAATACAAAACAGTAGCCGAGCGTGGGAGCACTTGGCTGTAATCCCAGCTACTCGGGAGGCTGAGGCAGGAGAATCTCTTGAACCATGGAGGTGGAGGTTGTGGTGAGCTGAGATCATGACATTGCACTCCAGCCTGGGCAACAAGAGGGAAACTCCGTCTCAAGGAAAAAAACAAAAAAAAAACAAAAAAAACAGTTGGTCAGTTGTGGCTGCTTTGAATGACACTTGTCTGTTCCCACCTTGTTAAGTGACTTGCCTAAGATTCAGCTCTTTGGAGAGAAGAAGGTTCTGTTGACTGAGCCTGCCTTGTCTCTGATTGTGGTGGGAGGGTGGGACGGAAATCCTGGAGCTTCCCCAGGGAGTATGGTGGGAGGAGGAGTTTCAGAAAGTGACAGGGTCAGGCTGGGCACAGTGGCTCACACCTGTAATCCCAGCACTTTGGGAGGCCAAGGTATTCGGATCAGTTGAGGTCAGGAGTTTGAGACCACCCTGGCTAACACGGTGAAACCTCATCTCTACCAAAAATACAAACATTAGCCAGGCGTTGTGGCAGGTGCCTGTATTCCCAGCTACTCAGGAGGCTGAGGCAGGAGAATTGCTTGAACCTGGAAGGCAGAGGTTGCAGTGAGCCAAGATCTCAACACTGCAGTCCAGCCTGGGCAACAGAGTGAGACTTAGTCTTAAAAAAAAAAAAAAAAAAAAAAAAGACACAGGGTCTTGCTTTGTTTCTCAGGCTGGAGTGCAGTGGTACATTCATAGCTCACTGCAGCCTCTAACTCCTGGGCTCAAGCAGTCCTCTCACTTTAGCCTCCTGAGTAGCTCTGACTCCAGGCGCGCATTCATGTGCTGGCACACCTAGCCTTCACTGAAGTCATTCACTCAGTGTCTGTGTCTTCCTTCAGGAGAAGTTTGAAGTGCAGCACTCTGAAGGCTACCGGCAGATCTCAGCCTTGGAGGATGACCTCGCACAGACCAAAGCCATTAAAGACCAATTGCAGAAATACATCAGAGAGCTGGAGCAAGCAAATGATGACCTGGAAAGAGCCAAGCGGTATGGTGTGGGGCGGGACAGGGGAAGGCCGGGGTGGGAAACTGGCCTTTCTGCTGTTTGCCTCCAGCAACTGGGTACTGGGCCCTGTGCTGAATATCGGGAACTGAGTGGGGAGCAGAACAAAGCCGGGGCCCTTCTGGCTCTTAGCCCGATGGGAAAAATGGACAATAGTCAAAGAAGTGCAATTTCATTACAGCAGCAAGCCTGGCAGCCCAGGGTCCTGTGGGAGTTTGTAATAAGATATATTAATTTGGCTGTTGTCCAGGGAGCATCAGGTAAGCCTTACCAGAGGAAATGTCATTTAGGCTCAGACCAGAGGAATGAGTAGCCATGATCCCAGGAGGAGTGTGAGATAAGAACACTCCAGACAGAACGGTGAGCCTGTACTAAGGCTGTAAGGCAGGGAGGAAGCTTGTTCAAAGAACATAAGTATGTATATGTAGGGGTGTGTGTGTATGTGTGTGTGTATGTGTATATGTGTGTGTGTATATATATATATATATATATTTATATATAGATGTTAGTATTTTTTGAGATGGGGTCTTGCTCTGTTGCCAGGCTGGAGTGTAGTGGTGTGATCTTGGCTAACTGCAGCTTCTGCCTCCTGGGTTCAAGTGATTCTCCTGCCTCAGCCGCCTGAGTAGCTGGAATTACAGGCACGTGCCACCATGCCTGCCTGATTTTTGTATCTTTAGTAGAGATGGGGTCTCACCATGTTGGCCAGGCTGCTCTGAAATTCCTGACCTCAGGTGATCTGCTCAGTTCAGCCTCCCAAAGTGCTGGGATTGCAGGCGTGAGCAAGTGTACACAGCCCAGTGTTGCCTAAGCTGATGTTCTGTGGGTTAGCGGAAGGATCACAACTAACATTTATAGAAGAATTACTCTGAGCCAAGCACTTTTTTTGGATAAAAACACGTTTTAAAAATTTATATATGAATTATGTACAGTGTAATGCACAGATTTTTTTTCTTTTTTCTTTTATTTCGTTTTTAGAGGCAGGGTCTTGCTCTGTTACCCAGGTTGGAATGCAGTGGTGCCATCATAGCTCATTGCAGCCTCAAACTCCTGGGTGCAAGTGATCCTCCTGCCTCGGCCTCCCAAAGTGCTGGGATTACTGCCATCAGCCACAGTACCCAGCTTCCTCAAAGATTGTTTTCTGCCCCATTCTTTATCTCCCATCCATCTGGGACACCAGTTAGACATATATATACACAGTTATACCTTTTTATGTTGTCAGATAGGTTTCTAAGTCTCTGGTTTTTGTAATTATTTTTCTTTTTTCTCAAATTGAATAATTTCTGTTTATCCAGTTTCAAGTTGATAGGCGCTTTCTTCTCTCTTCTCCAATCTGCTATTAAAGCAGATGAAAGAATGTTGAATTTTCAATATATTGTAGTTTTATTTTTAGATGTAGGATTCATATTTGGTTGTTCTTTTATAATTTCTGTGTTTTTTTTTTTCCTTTTTTGAGATGGAGTGCAGTGGCGTGATCTAAGCTCACTGCAACCTCCAACTCGCTGGTTCAAGCAATTCTGCTTCAGTCTCCTGAGTAGCTGGGATTACAGGCATGTGCCACCACGCCCAGCTAATTTTTGTATTTTTAGTAGAGATGGGGATTCACTATGTTGGCCAGGATGGATCTTTATCTCCTGACTTTGTGATCTGCCCACCTCTGCCTCCCAACGTGCAGGATTATAGGTGTGAGCCACCTGTGCCCGGCCTGTAATTTCTGTTCTTTTGTTGAGATTTCTTCCTCGTCATCCTTGAGCATAGTTATAAGAGCTGCTTTAAGACTCTTTTATGCAATTTTGAACATCTGGGTGACTATAGGGTTGATTTTCAGTGATTGTCTTTTCTCTTGAGTTTGGGTCACATTTTCTTTACGCTCCAAAAGTTCAGGAACTTTGGGGTTGTGTTCTAGAAATTGTGAATGCTTTTTCTCAGAGACTGAGTTTTGTTTTGTTTTTTTTGAGAGGGCGTCTTGATCTGTCACTGAGGCTGAAGTGCAGTGATGTGATCTTGGCTCACTGCAACTTCCACCTCCCAGGTTCAAGCGATTCTCCTGCCTCAACCTCCAGAGTAGCTGGGACTACAGGTGTGTGCTACCACAGCTGGTTAATTTTTATATTTTTAGTGGAGATGGGATTTCGCCGTGTTAGCCAGTCTGGTCTTGAACTCCTGACCTGAGGTGATCTGCCTGCCTTAGTCTCCCTTGGGATTACAGGTGTGGGCCACCACACCTAGCCAGAGATGATGTATTCTTTTATGTTCTTGATGTAGGTGGTTTACTTGGTTAAGCTTACACCCCAAGTTCTGTCTCACTTTTGATAGACAGTAGCTGAACTCCCTGCTTCTGTTAGCTGTAACTGGGCTGCTTGTGTCTGCACTGTAGACGTGTGGTTCAGGGTAAGCCAGAGATGGGAGAAGATACTGTATTCAGAAAGTGGGGGTCCCTCGGTGCTGGATTTTTGTCATGGGAGCTGTAGGCAGAAATCTTGTAAAGATGCAGACTTCACCCAGTGTTACTCTGTTCTTCTAAGTATTGTTTTCCAGTTTCTGCCAGTGCCGTCAGATCACTGCTTTAAACATTTTACTCAGAATTTGTATGAGGTTTGCTCTGACACCGGTTCCCTCGTCATTACCGGAAGTGAAAACTCCTTCCTTGTCAATCTGTAGGAGTTCTTTGTATGTATATGTTTTTCGAGATGGAGTCTTCCTCTGTTGTCCAGGCGGGAGTGCAGTGGCACAATCTGAGCTGCCTCCCTGCTTCAAGTGATTCTCCTGCCTCAGCCTCCCAAGTAGCAGGATTACAGGTGCCCGCCACCATGCCTGGCTGGTTTTTGTATTTTTAGTGGAGATGTAGTTTTGCCATGTTGGACAGGGTGGTCTCGAACTCCTGACCTCAAGTGATCCCCCCCCCCACTTTAGCTTCCCCAAGTGCTAGGATTACAGGCATGAGCCACTACATGCAGCCCTTTGTGTATTTTTGCTACTAATCTTTTCTCCTTCATTGAAAATAATTTTTTCCAGAGTAATCTTTTGTCTGTTGATTTTGTTTGTAGTATCATTTTTCCATACAAATATTTCCTTTTTTCTCTGTTGAAAAAAATTTTTTATACATATGTTTTTCATTTTTAGGTCATCAATTATGTCTTTTTTTACAATACTTTCTGGGTTTGCAGACTTCGCTAGGGAAGTCTCCTTGGTTCTTGATTGTGTATGTGTTTTCTTTTTTGCAATATTTTTAAATTGTTTAATTTTTTTTTAAAACTTATTCCTTAATCTGCCATTTATTTTTGTATCTAGTGTAAAATACGGGTTCAATTTTATTTTTTTTAATAGAAAAAAAACTGGATAGCCAGTTGTGCCAGCACTATTAAATATTACTTTTTTTTTTTTGAGTTGGAGTTTCACTCCTTTTGCCCAAGCTAGAGTGCAATGGCACGTTCTTGGCTCACTGCAATCTCCGCCTCATGGGTTTAAGCAATTCTCCTGCCTCAGCCTCCTGAGTAGCTGGGATTACAGGCATGCACCACCACACCCAGCTAATTTTTGTATTTTTTAGTAGAGACGGGGTTTCACCGTGTTGGTCAGGTTGGTCTTGAACTCCCAACCTCAGGTGATCCGCCTGCCTCGGCCTCCCAAGGTGCTGGGATTACAGGTGTGAGCTACCACTCCCAGCCTTGAACATTGCGGCTTTTTTTGAGACTCTGTTGTGCAGGCTTGAGTGCCATGGTGCAATTATAGCTCACTGCAGACTTGACCACCTGGGGCAAGTGATCCTCCCAACTTAGCCACTGAGTAGCTGGGACTACAGGCATGTGCTACCACACTTGGCTAATTTTTGTATTTTCTGTAGAGAAAAGGTTTTGCTGTGTTGCCCAGGCTGGTCTCAAAGTCCTGGGCTTAATCAGTCTGCCTGCCCCGGCCTCCCAAAGTGCTGGGATTACAGATATGAGGGATGATGCCCAGGCATACAGTCTTTTTCCACTCTCTTCACACCACTCATGTTAAACTCTTATATATTCTGGGATCTAATTCTGGATTCTCTATTTCCTTCCACTGTACAATTTGTGAATGACTATAGCAAAACCGTAATGACTTGATTACTCTGGCTTTACATACAGTCTCATAACATAGATTTCATATGTAAAGCCACATTTTGATTTCTGGCAAGCCACTGGCATGCTGTCATTTCCACCCCTATATTATTGATTAAAGCAAGCCACATGGCCAAGCTAAGTCAAAGGGTGGGAAGTTACTTTCTACCCACAATGAAGCCATGGCAAGGGTGTGGATGCAGGGAGGGGTGAAGAATCAGGGCCAATTACACAGTCTACACAAAGAGTTAGTACATTCACACGGTTCGGAAATAATATACAAAGGGGGAGGCGTTTCTTTAATAACTCAAGAAATACTTTAATAACTCAATAAAAAGATATTCTTCTTATCCCCCACTCCTTTTTCCCCAGATAGAAGAGCAGTCTACACACACTGTTGTTCTTGCTTTTTCACATAACAACAGAGTGTGAATATTCTTCCTTAACAGGACAGAACATTCTTTGTTCTTTTTTTTTCCCCCAATACATAGTATTCTGTTGTATGCTTGGTACTGAATAACACCATAATTATCTAGACCGCTGTGGATGCATATCTGTTAAATTTCTGTTCTTTTGTAGTGATAAGCATTGCAGTAATGAACAGCCTTGCTTGGTTGGGTATCTGTAGGCTGAATTCTCAGAAGTGAAATTGCTAGGTCAGAGGATATATGCATATGTCATTTTGATAGATGTCGCTCAGTTATTTATATGGTTGTGCCAGTTTACATTCCCAAAAGCCATGTATGTGAGTCCCTGTTTACCAAATAGCTTCACTAGTAGAGTGGTTTTTAAACTTTGGGCTTAACTTTCATTGAAAAGGTGAGAAGTAAGTACATTTCTGAGTTGCGTTGTCAGATGCTTAAGAGCTATTTGACTTTCTTCTTTGTAAACTCTGTTGAT